TTGTGCTCCCTGCCCGCGTTGTGCTCCCTGCCCGCGTTGTGCTCCCTGCCCGCCTTGTGCTCCCTGCCCGCCTTGTGCTCCCTGCCCGCGTTGTGCTCCATGCCTGTGTTGCACTCCATGCCTGCAGTGAGTGGGTACCATGCCTGCGTTGCGCTCTGTGCCTGCACTGGGCACCGTGCCTGCACTGGGCTCCATGCCTGTTATTGATGCTCAGTAAGCAATAGCCTGACTAGCACTGGCCCCTGTACTTGTTTTTACGTCAGTGCAAAGTGCCTTTTATAAATGCAGAGTTTGCTGTTGTTTGCCATCGAGTTGAGCACAACTCATAGTGACCCAATGAATAAAAGACCTGAAGCCTTTCAATAAATTGACTATCATTTCTCATAGTTCATAGAGTTTCCCGAGGCATGTTGTTTAGGAAGTGGATTCCACTCCTGCAAGTTTAAGATTATATAAATGATGTGAACCCAGTGCAGAAGAATTCTTCAGCAGATAATATTGAGATAGTTGGATAGTAGTTTGGGGGGGATTCACTTTATACAGTTTAATAAATTACCATTGTAGTGAATTCCTTAATGTAAAAGGCAAAGCAAAAGAATAATGAAAAAGTTATTGGTAAAATGCCAACTAGCTGTGTTCTGTTTGGGTTGTAATTTGAGATGTCTCAAATTAAAGTTAATTATCTTTGGTTATATACAGGATATGTTTGAAAAAGTAAATAAAGCCTATGAATTTTTATGTACCAAATCAGCAAAAATAGTGGATGGACCAGATCCAGAGAATATAATTTTAATTCTGAAAACACAGAGCATCCTCTTCAACCGTCACAAAGAAGGTGAGGCATGCTGTTTCGAGACCCTGTCGCCGAACTCGCCCCTGGGTTCCTTGTGTTTACAGAGTTAGAATTACTGTCACACTGGACTCTTGGAGTCAGATTGGAAGTAGAGAAGACCTTGGTGTGTGGTTGTGTTTTCTAATGCTAATGCTGTTTATTTCAGATTTACAGCCTTACAAGTATGCAGGGTATCCCATGCTTATCAGGACCATAACAATGGAAACATCTGATGACCTCCTTTTCTCCAAAGAATCCCCGCTGCTGCCCGCAGCCACGGAGCTGGCCTTCCACACGGTCAACTGTTCCGCCCTTAATGCTGAGGAACTGAGACGGGAACACGGACTGGAGGTGAAGTGTATCCCAGCTACAGTGCTCAGTACCTGTCATCCAGCTGGTGTGGGCGTGACTCACGAGTGTAGACAGAGTCCTCCTGTCAGACAGTGCGGGACTGTGACAGGTGTAAACTGAGTCCTCCTATCAGACAGTGCAGGCCTGTGACAGGTGTAGACAGAGTCCTCCTGTCAGTGTGGGATTGTGACAGGT